AAAAAAAAACTAACAAAAATAACAATGAGAGATAGAGAGAGAGAGAGAGAGAGAGATAAAGAAAAACAACTAACAAACAAATTGCCATTGACTTGAATATAACACACAACAAATAAGAAGAGGAGAAAACAACAGCAGCGCACAACGGTCGATATATTCCTAAAAAGAATTGTGTATAATAATGATAAAACTGATAGAATAATAATAAAAACAGAAAAACAAACATACTAAGGATCATAACACTTTTCCCCAAAAAAAGAAGAACAACAAAAACAAATAAAAAATAATTTATTTTAGATCTGAAAACGCATGTTTTATCATTGTAAAATATTTCGAATTTCTCGATGTAAATGATAAAGAAAATCGACATATGATGCACCATTAGTAAAACCTTTATCTTCGATTAAATAATTTTTAAAAAATGGTTCGATTGAATCACGTTGATGAACAACAAATTGCTAAAAGAGAGATAACGCGGTTCATATCAGCAAGCCAAAATAAAATTTAAAAAAAATGATGTATTTAAGTACTTACTTTAAGATGACAATTTCTATCATTTCTGATATAATTTAACGTATTTCGAACACTTTTTGATATTGGATTATCGAGATCAAGTATTTTACACTAAATAAGAAAAATAAAATTCATAAAATATATTCAATGAAACAGTATCTAAATCAATACACACTTTTTCTGCTTCAACTTGAGCGGCTGTTTGAACACCAAATACACATTGGATAAATGTTGGATTTATTCGACTACCGAGCCATATATACATTACTAAACCATTTTCTATTTTAAGAAGAAAAAAAAATTGATAAAAAACTTGGTAATAGTCAAGAAGGAGAAAGATAATGACTAAAAAAATACAGAATCGATGATAGAACGATGTTTTTCTAAGACTTACCAAGTACATAAGCACCCGTTTCTGAAAATCGATCATATGAGCATCGAATCATTGGTGGTATTGTATCGTCTTCAGTATCATGCTAAAATATCAAAAAAGATAGTAGATAATAAATTTTTAAGTGAAATATTGTATTTACTAATGCAAATATTCTTGGATATAAATAGCCAAATGTTGATTTAACATCCATAAACATTATTCTATGCATGAGCCAACTTCGATCGTCTGTCGTTACTGTTTGACCTTAAAAATAGAAAAATAATATCTATTGAAGAACGAATTGATATTTAATATTTAATGACATACTGCCAATTAGTGCATCACATTTGATTAATGATGTTACATAAACTGGTAAAAGTTTTAATGTTTCAGGTAATATTAACTGTCCAGCTGTTGTTGATTGTGCACAATTTTTTCTATAACATGCTAACATATTCGCGGCTTGAGTAATTATATTATCCCGAATACTTTTAGCTGTTGACATTGTAACTGATCGTATTGCTAAAAGAAACAAAATACTTACATATTAGAATTCGATTATAACAAATAGATTCATTTGATTCATATTTAAATTTACTAACCAACTTTTGTAGTATAATTCATTATTGCATCCAAATCGCACGCCGGATATAATGATGTGTAGGTCGCTGTAACAGTTAATCCCAACGTTAAGATACGTAATCGTCTCTGTCCAGATATACTCGTATATAATAATGCTACCTAAAAAAGCACAAAATATAATTAAACTAACTACTTTAAACAGCAATTTTTTCTACGCCAGTTACTTACTTGAACATATGTATTTGCTTCTGTTGGAAGTTTATCATCATGTTTTAATTCGACACATACAGATTTATCAGAATCAATAGAACCAAAAACCATTTCCGTTGCATTAGTCATATAAAAATTTCCAAGAAAATCAATTGGCCGAATTCCTAATATAAATTAACAAAAATAAATCAATACTCATTCAAATAAAATTTTCATCGATTACAAACCTGTACTAGTTCGAACACGCATCAACGCATCAAACACTGTTGTACGTTGAAAATTTCGTTTTAATTCATCTAATAATCTTTCACCATCATTTTCAACCTATAAATATAATATCATAAAGTTCGATATTGAGATATTGATAACACTAATAAACTACTCTTAAACATTATACAAACCGAAAAATAATTAAATTTATATATTTCTCCACCCGATACTCGACAAACTTCACCAACAGTAGCCAAATCAAGATAACTATTTGGAAATACAAATAAATCAACTGCGCATCCATTTTGTGCACATTCTTCGCCTAATTTTGTATAAAAATTGTTTGCAGGAGCTAAAATTGTCTACAAAAAAGACAGACAGCTTTTTTTGTATATATTTTTTCACGCATAGGTTGAATATAATATTAAACAATATTTACCTTCTCTTTATCGGTGCCCAATAGCTTTTTATCATCACGATTCGTCTAGAACAGTTAGAATATAAATTAAATTATATGAGATATTTTATGATACATACCAATTTTCCAGGAGCAACAGCGATCGGTAAGGTCGTAGAAAATACGTATATTTTGCCGACACAGCCAGCATCCTGAAAGAAAAGAAATCAAAGGTGACAACAAAAACTTTCACGAAAATTTGATATTTAGATAATCACTTTTAACGCGTGAATTCCAGCTTGTATAACTGGTCCTAATATGGTTTCTGTTTCTTGTGTATGAGCAAATGTTTGAGGTATTTGATCTAGTAAACTAAAAAACAAACAGAACAATCTCTTCAAATAAATGGTGTAATTAAAATATAAATAAGTATTAACCTGTTGATGACAGTACGTGACTCGTTTGGTAATACAAGAAAGCCATCTAATAGTGGCATAAATATATCTTCTAAATCTGATACAATCATCATTTGTGGTTGACCTAATGTGTTCTAAATTACAAATATAATGTCAACAAAAACAAATGAATAATGAGACATTATTAGGTTAACAATATATATGATAAGAAAACCAAAACAATTGATTTTGGTTCACGTGTCAATTACAACAAGACATTATTCTTGACAGTTACTCACTACACTAAAAGCGTGATCTTCCATTTAAATTACGTTAATGTACTTGCATGCGAAGGAAAAATATAGCCACTGAATTAGATTACTATCTTGTGCATATTGAAGAAAACAGAACAAAGTGTTAACACAAATTTAGTGGTCAATGACAAATGCAAAAAGAAATATATAGAAGTTAAAACATGCAATATCTTGCATGATTAACGTGTAATATGAGTTTGAAAAAGCTTTCAAAATTCACAAAATAAAATCTTAGTATTAGCGTTAGAAATTCTGAATTTTAGTGTTTATAGAAAAAAATTCATATCCTCTTAGAGAACCTGTTAAAAAAGCAATCTGTATCTTATGATACATTAAAGATCAAAACTATCAAACAGTAGTCATTTCTTAGAAGCATACGAACGCCGCTGAAAGACTCACAAAGTAGAGATTTAAAAGATCTTTATCGTCCGTGATACAGTTTAGTTTAATACTCTATGGAATCTCTTTAGTAGATAATTCAGTGTTAGGTAAACTAGTGAATTCAGACAAGTAAGATAAATATAGTGCAGAAACCTCGTTAGAATACAGATATTTTCTAAAAGTGAACACATCAATTCTATTATAATAAAAAAAAACAAAGAAAATAATTCCATTTAAGTTACTTGCCCCCTGAAATAAAGTGAAAAAAGAAAGAAATCGATGATAAAAGATAAATTTAAACAATTATGAATGTAGAAAGTAGGAAAAAAACCTACTAAACATTTCTACATACTTTAATATTGTAAAAATGTAATTGTTTATCGAATGTAGCAAATCCAACTTTAACTGTTGAGTTTTCAGCATTTTTATCTCTTAATAAAAAAAAAGAAAACGTGAAAATAATAGATTGCAACCATCTTCATGCATACAGACATACATACTTTGGTAAATAATTCAATAGTTCATCTTTCAATATTTGACAAATAAAATGTAGTAAACCACTCCGTACACTATTATATGATACATCAATCATAAATATGAATGCGGGTGGTTCCGGCCATTTTTCATTCTAAATAAAATAAAATAAAAACAATTCTAAATAGTACAGTATACACATACCTTGCAATATTGTTTTGTGGCTAATATTTCATATGAACCAAGACATAATTCTGGTCTTTGATACCAATCAACCCGTCGTCCACTATGATCCAAATGATTAAAATATTCCGTTCCAACTAGAAAACATGAGAGAAGATTTGAATAAAAACAAATTTAACATTATTTTTGGCTGATTTATCTAGAAGATCGTTCAAATGTGTTTACTATTCTTTTACCATCGGTGCACTGGTTACAAAACGCACAGATAAAACGTTTTCCACCATCAATAAATTGCATAAATGAACACATATAAGCTTTGCATCGATGACAACGAACGGGACCAATATCTCCAAAATTTGTTACAGGAGGTTCAAGCTAAAAAAAACAAATAGACAACTGTTATTCTATATTAATGGAAATATCTTATCAATAATTTGAGAAGGTGATATTTTAGTAAGCACGTCTTTTTCAGCTAGATTACAAAAGTTTAGAAGTTTTTAATTGATCCGTTCGGGATCTGTAACTTTCGTTTTAAATATCGGTGAATCATCATGCACAATAAAACAAATACCTACCTCATCTGATCGCAAACTGGCTAAGGGGGAAATAGCTAATGCAACTGGTACATGTGAATGCTTAATGATATCTGTAGAATTTGGAACACTATATGTTGTTGCACGGATAAAACGTGGATTGCAACTACCTGAAAATACCAGAGGATATATAAAGTACCATGTTAATGTGATATCATCTTTAACATTTACCTTGATCTTGGCAAACAAAATTTGTCGCAACTAATGGAGGTAGCATTCCTGGCGTATTTGTAGTAAATGGTTCTTGAATTTTTTCTTGCATTTGCTCGAGTACTTGAACCTAATAATAAAAAACGTCAGATATTTATTCAATAGAAAAAACATTTGAAAACTTACAACGTTCGGAATCATATCAGGATCGATACGTTGCTGAGACTGCTGAAATTGAGGTCCAGCAGATGGCTGACCTATAGAAGCAAAAGAACAAGCTAGATTTTTTAAGTTTTGATAGACAGAATATAAATTCCTTACTCGAATAGTTTGTAGGTCCATTTTGTTGTTGCATGTCAGGCATTGATGGACCCGTCAAATTTGTTTGGCTCGGAAACGGTTGTGCCATTCCTGGCAGAAATTGTTGCTGTTGTTGCTGTTGTTGCTGGGAGTATGCTGGTCCAGAAAGATTTTGTTGCTGGTTTGGAAATGGTGGCATAGAAGGCGGCGGTTGCGGATAACCGCTTGAATTCGGCTGAGTTACAATAGGTGGCATCGATGGTGACGGTAATCGTCGTTGCTGAGAATAACCGACAGGTCCAGAAAGATTTCCTTGAATTTGCGGATTTTGAAATTGAGGCATTTGCGGTTGTTGAAAGGCCTGCTGTTGAGGCATTTGCGGTTGTTGAAAGGCCTGCTGTTGAGGCATTTGCGGTTGTTGAAAGGATTGCTGTTGAGGAGGGTAACTAGTTAGTGATGGTCCAGAGAGATTTTGTAGCGGCTGAGTTGGAAACTTTGGTTGAAGTTGTGGTGGAGCTTGATTTTGGTATGGCACGGATGGATTTACTTGGTCTTGAAATGTCGGTTGTTGCTGATAAGGAGGGAAGGAAGGAGGAGGACTTTGTTGTTGCAAATTTCCAGGCATTAAAGTTGATGGTGGACCCAGATGGCTTGGCATCGGAGCTCTTATATTTTGTGATGAAGGCAAAGCGCCTGATAGAGATGACATATCCATTATTGGTGGATGCTGTTGTTGTATCGGCGGTGCTAAAAATTAGGAGTAAGCTAATAACTGCATTATTTAAAAAATGTATCCGTATTTACCCATCGACAATGGTCCATTTTGAATCTGTGATGGTGACATATAGCTTTGTTGTCCTGGAAATGACAGAGAAGATTGAGATGGTGCTGGACCAGAATACTGTTGCATTCCTCCTCTCGTTTGTTCAATCATTCTGTTTTCTATAGAAAATAAATCTGAAAAAATTATATCTTCTTTGAATTGCTTTTTTTATATGATCTTTTGAGTTAGCTCTAGGTCAAAGGAAACTAGTTCTTGGTTGAAGAATTTTCTTATGGGATAAAAGAATTATAATAACATGGGAGTATTTCTTTTACTTCAAACTAATCCAATAATTAAGAAATAATTCATCAAAGTTGTTTCATATTTGAGAACAGCTTGCTTATACTTGGCTGAATATTTTTCTGCAGTCGTGTCTTGCTTATAATTGGTCCATAACAACCATTATGTGTAATACATAGTACTCGCCAACAAAGACTACGAGTATATTCATGTGTTCTAGAGAAAAAAGAGTTTTATCGACTTATCCTCATCTATCCCGAGAAAAAATTGGAGTTACAATGAGAGGTGCAATAAAATACCAGAGAACATAGTTAGCGACGTCATTATCACTTATCGCTACGGTCTATTTGTAATTCATATCGCATGAATTATAAAACAAAGATATGGTCAGTTTAATTTCAACACGCTATCTTTACCATGAAGTCAACTTCCCTTTTTGCTGCTAGTATCAAATTTATTTCTTGAGTAACAATCTAATATAAAAAGAAATATGTCTGTATAAAAGAAATCCTAAGTGTATGATAAGATATAGCGTAGACTATGCAACAATTAGAGCGATAACAAAAAATAGGTAACAAGAATATAAAAAATACCCACCGTGGTTTGAAAAAAAAATACATAAAGAGAATGAAAAGAGCAAAAAAAATTTATCTTAAAATTTCATGATCACTATATGGTTGAATTTCATGTTTTGTTATCGATATCAATAACCATTCTGGTTTCAAACAATGTACATTTGCTTTTTGGCATGTTTCAAATAACGACGGTTTATTACGAATAAAATTCTCTGAACATAAAACAATGGTTTTCCGTTTTGCCACTGCTTGTGTTAAATTAGAAATGAAAACCCCACCACTTAGTTTAATCATTTCAATTAATGGCAAATTATCGGTGAATGGTGAGCAACCAGTACATTTTAGCATGAATGCATAATCACCAAATAATAAATGTTCGGGATTTAAACGTGATTTTTTCATACCATTATGGTTGTTTTCCAACGTATAATCACCATGCATTTCATACTCTTCTTCACTGACAAGACGTTTTTCACGTAAACATCGTACAATCCAACGGAATGAGACGACAAATAGATGACGAGAAATCGCTTGAATGACTTTACCAGTTAATGGACAAGTTAACGTTTCATTTTCTTCTTCTGTTATTAAATGAGTTGTTGTTTCATCAACACTGAATGATGTACGAAGATTAAATAACTGGACAAATTCATCGAATATTAACTATAAAAAACAAAACAGAGGGAGAGAGATATAAGGATAACCATGCTGTGATAATACTGCTTGTCAAGGGGATAATAGAGTATTTGCTTTACTTTTTCTTGATCACTCAGTGATGAGGATGTTACTACAATTCTTTTTCGTTTTTTTTCTTCTTCTTCAATTTCTAATATTGGCGATTTTATCAACATTGCCATTTCCATTGAAGATAATTCTGTAATGTGTTGTACTGGATGGTTTTCATCTTTCTGGTCAAACATTGTTGTATTATGTACGATACTAAGATCTAATACTTGCTCTTCTTCAATCAACGGTTCAATTGTGGTCAACGGTTCAATCAACGGTTCTTCCTTTAAAACTGTGAATGTACTATACAAATTTTCTTGGTTTTCATTTTCATTCTCAGCCATTGTTGACGTATCTATGACAGATATATTCTGATATTGTGTACCAAGAACAATGATATCGTCATCAACGTTCTAAATCAATAGTAATGAAAGAATATTAAATATTGCATGTAAAGAGCAACATCAAGCGAACTATTATTCAGGGAAAATGAAAAATTATAAGCTTACGGTAACTTATACAAAGACTGCTATCCCAAAGGAAAAGTACTTACATCATTTGCATTAACATCTGACTCTTCTCTTGGCTGTTGTTCATATTCTTGATTTCGTGTAATGACAGATAAACGACGACTACGGTTCAAATAACGACGTTTGGTTTTTCGATTACGATTATTTATTATTGATGATGTTGTTGTGGTGGTGGTTGGCATACAGTTGAAAAATGCTGAAAATGTTTGTAAAAGAAATTGTTCCGTTTTCCCATACATTTGAACACAAGGACATGTTGTTACATTGGGACAACATTGGTGCTGTTGTTCTTGTTCTTCAATAAGTGGTGTTACTTGTGTCGACTGATTAAGTTTCTTAATTTCATTATTTGACGTTTGTGTCATGGATGAAACATATTGGATTTCATGTGTGTTTGTTGATGAACAAGCAGTAACTGGCTCAGTTTGAATCTTTATTGAGCGTTGATTGATTTCATTTGTCTGAGTCATTTGATCATTTTTTCTTTCTTTTACATTTTCAATTGTTTGATCATCAATTATTGTTGCTTGATCGTGGAATGTAACACGATGTTCTTTTGATCGATTTTTTTCCATGGTGGGTGATTTTTTGCGTGAATCTTTAATAATAACTTTTTGTTGAAGTTTTTCAATTTTTTTCTCAAAACTTGTATCATTAATAGTATTTGCTGCGCATCCAAGAGAATCGTATACTAACATTGTAGAAATTTCTTCTGTTTGAATAACAACTGGTGCCGGAGTTTCTATGAGAGTTGACATTACCGGCACAACATCTGATATCTCGACTGAAGAAGATGGTTCTGGTTGATTAACTAAAATCAACTGTTGAATATCAACTGGTACTGGGAATTCTAGTATATCGTTGCCTCTCTCCAGCCAACATAATTCATTGAGCGGTTTTTCTAAAATAAGAAGGAAAAAGTGAAATTTTGTTATTTGATATGTTATCAAATCGATGCAGAATGAAGAAGTAGAAATGGGAGAGACCGTTATTGTTGACTTTTCAAAAAATATAATTAAAACAAGACGTAGAAAGTTTATCGTCATCTTAAGATTTTCAGTTTGAATGATTGCCTGAATTTTCCTACTTGAACAAAGACAACTTCGACGTCGAGTTGTTCGTTCGCTATGGCGATCTACAAAGGAAAAATTAGAGAAATGCATTAAATAATTCTGATGGAAGAAACCAAGCAAATAATCATCGTCTGTATTCTTCTACCTGCTGTATTCTGATAATAAGAACACTTTATTTTATCATGTTCTATGTCAGACGTTGTTTTACTACGTTGACGAACATGCGTTGTAATATTTGTATTTACATCTAACGTTTTATCAAGATCTAAACATAAATTCTATTAAGATTCATATAAAGTGGATTAATTCACTCGGATTAATAGAATTTGGGCAATCGAAATTTGGCCACGTGGAATTTAGACAACATTTAAGATTGTTTGGAATTTGAACAAATTGTCTAAATTCTAGTGGACTTTGACAATTCTTGTGAATTTAGAACGTTGTCCAAAATACTAGCGGAAATTGGATAATGATGACGTTTAGTTAAATTCTATTGAACTTGTACATAATTTTTTGGGTTTTTTCTTTGTTTGTTGGTACATTCTGTTGTTTGGCAAATGTTTCATGTGTTGGAGAAAAAAATGAATATTTCTAAATCCAAGAGAATTTGGAACTGTCCAAATTCCGTTGTCCAAAATCCACGTGGCCAAATTCCGATTATCCAAAAGGGAATTTATCATTCACTCACCTGTGGTTGCCACATTTTCTAATGAAACATGAGAAATCGTTTCGGTAGCTTGTGGCTGATTATTGTTCAATGTCGAGTCTAAACAGAGACATATTTCTGGTCAAACAGAAAAGCCTCAACAATAAACAAAACTTATTCGGACCTGTTTTTGAACGTTTTTTTTGTAGACATGCTAAATGATCATCGACATTTTCATTATCATGTTGTCTCTTTTTATTCACAATATTTTCTTTTTCAGTATTATTATCAACTTTTTTTGTTTCAATCAATTGAGAGAATCCATCATTATTTTCTTTTTCTGGTTGTTGACCTACTGATTTTAGCAAAACTTGATTAGTCGTCGATATTGGATTTTTTCTTTGAGATGACCTTGTACGAGGCCTTTCAACAATAGCTGCTACGTTTGATATTTGCTTTCCATTTGTTCGTCTATTCTTTGTCGTCTTTGTTCTAGTTCTTCTTCGACCACGGTTATTATTGATAGTAGGTGGAGATAGTGGAAAAACGTAGGGATCTTCCATTTTGTTCTAAAAGATCAAACATTTCTCTCATTTTCAGGGTTTCTTAATCAAACAATGCAGTACAGAATATAACTTTTTTGATAAATCAATATAGGTGTTGTAATAATAGTAGTCTCCAAATTATATTCAAATTTTATTTATTCGACTTAAAATAATCATAACAAGTAAAATGTACATTCAAGTAAAGAAAAAAGCAGAAAGAAACATATTCTTAATGCTTCATTTCTGTTCTATAGTACTTTCCTACATTATTTTTATTTGCCTTTTGCTCAGTTAAAATAATACTCTATATATATCAAGGAATTTTCTATTTTTATGCTTAAAAAAGCTTTTATCATTTTACTTTTTCTCTTGATAATGACTGGGAATTTAATTGAAATAAATAAAACTTGAATAAAAGTTAATGGTTACTATTATTATACGACTTACTTTGACTAATTTATTGACTCTTATGGCTTAGTACATCGATAGATCAAATTTTTCAGCTTTTTTTTATTAGTTCAAACGAGAACCATTATTTTCACAACTAGATTAATTTTTCAGTTGATTTCGATCAAGAGAATATAATTTGAGACAGTACCAATTACAAAAAAATTACCCCATAAAATAGAAAAAGGTATAATGTCTAATAACTGTCCACAAATAAATCGTTTCTACAACAGGTTCTTGTCTTGTCTATATAGACTGGCTTCAGCAACACATCTATGAATATCAGTAGAATTTCCACCAAAAAAAGCTATTTCACGCAAGATAAACTGTTCGCTTTTAGTCATCGATCTTTTCTGAGTAATTTACCACAAAAATGTGATATGATGGACAGCCTTCAAGCAAGTAAAGCTAAATATAGACTTTCGCCCCCCATCCACCCCAAAGAATATGAGCTTTATTTTTCGACAACATCTTCAACAGCGAAAAAAACATGAAGAAGACGAAGAATAACAATTTGTTAATGAAAATAAAGAAAAAAAATTATTTATACTGCATTGTTGTCGAAAAATCTTCATTCAATTTGTATTTTCTGAAAAAAGAATCCGTTATTCTAATCTACATAGACGAGATTACAGAAAGAAATAGGGAACAAAAAAAGAAGTCAATACTGTACGAGATCATAGTAGAAAAACAAGAAATATCAACATAAATACTGTCCGATACAGACAGAAGTTTTTTGTTCACCCACGATAGAATTTGCACAAATAATTCTACTCGAATAAACACATAAAAAAAAGAAATTCTATGTACAGACAAAACAGAAATGATATGGACGTTATGATAGCATTAAAAAAATAAACAACTGATAGACAAATATCAACATTCCGTACCACGTACAATAGGTGAAAGTAAAGATTGATGATTAAATGAAGGAGAGGTATTGTGATCGGATAATGATTTTTGTGACGGTGGTAGTGGAATTTGTTTATAGTGAGGTGACGCATAATGTTTTTGTAAATTTTGTTGTCTAGATTTAACGATTCCGGTTCGAATGGTCTCACCATTAGGCAAACATATAACATCACAGACCCCAGAATCACTAGATGATATCGGACGTTCATCATAAAACGACGAATTTGGTGTATCATTACCACCATTTAAACGTGTACGAGAGTTTGAACGCGAGCGTGGCTTTGGTAATGGTAATGTTTTATCGTCTATTGTATTATTATTTGTCATCGATGGTAAATTACCTCTTACACTACGTAATGTGGAATATCGTGGTTTCGGAGGAGGTGGAGCACGTTTTTTTGACGATGATACAAGAAAACTACCGCTTTCAGACATGATATCGGTTGTCGTTGAATAAACAGGTGAATCTTCGTCAACTTCAAGTATTTCTTCAGGACGACTGTAATCTTCTGACAACGGTCCATATTTATTGTCCAGTCCGTCGTTAATCGAATAGACTTTATTTGCAAATGTTCGTGTGCGTGTAGGTAATGAGTTAAGACTACTATTTGACGAATTATCAATATAATGAATACTTCCATTTTGCTGTTGATGATAATGTCTGAGAGATGTGGACATTTGTTGTGTTGATGCTGGATCTTTCGTTATTGAACCGGGCACATCGTAGACAGTAGAACCATTCTAAATTAGAAAGTAGTTTAGTATGATTTCTCTGAACAAAACGCAAAAGCAAAGTAAACATACCAGATGTGAAGATTTGTCCGCTCCATTTTGTGTTAAATGAGAAGTAGCAATTGAATCATCTAAATAAACAATAAGCAGAATTAATGCATTTTTGCAAACTGAAACCTTTTTTTTGCGATAATCTTCAAGAATAAACACACAGCAACGGTTTCTTTATGGAAGAAAGTCTAAATTTTACTAATACTAAAAGGTGTTAATCAATATTATGCTTGGTTGGGTAAAAACAATACCAGTAGCACAAGCGTTCTATTCTTACCAGAATTTGGTTTCATAGGTTCGCTCTCCGATGATGAGCGAGGATATTCTATAAAAAAATATAGTATAAAAAAACTTTTATGGAAAGTAATCGTGCATTTTTCATAGTCAACTTTAGCTGCGTCGTTCATTCAAATCGCGAAAAAAATAACAAAAGGAAACATGCAGCAAAATACAAGATAAGTAAAAACAAAGTTCTTTTTAAACACTGCATACCGTTTGTAGCAAAGAGGCATTCTTCTATCTTTGGATAACATACGCGTTTGAATCAGAAAGTTTTGCTTCGACAATCACTTCCTCTTTAGTTTCAACTAAAACTATACTATTCTCTATAAATAATAGTTTACGAAGAAAACAAACAGTTTAAAGAAAAAATCCCTTAAAAAAAAATCAATAAAACACTTGTAACTTAAACAAAACTTTTCCTTCCTTAAAAAATTTAGCAAAAGAATAAACAACAAATTTGACGCGTCTACTTTCGAATACAGTGCATGTACGAGCAGAGATATCTCTTCTATCTGTGTTCCTGCAAAAGAATAATAAACGATTAATCAACGTTTAAACTTGTAAGTGATGAGAGTACTTTTTCTTGCCATACTACAGTTTACAGAAAATCCCTTTTTCTTTACAGCTATACAAGAAGTTGATCATGCCACAAAGCGTACATCAGCGTTAAATGAAAAATCACTACGGATAGTAACAGATACTTACTTTCTTTATATTTTCGATCGTTTGACTTTAATTTGTTTCCACAACAACAACACACCAGAACCAAAAGTATAATTCCACCAATTACACTTGCAATAATAATAACCATTTTGTTACTCAATAATGGCGACTGTTTAGGTACTAGACAAGGGAGAAAAACTGTAAGTTTTTTCATTTTTTTTAAATAGGTCTAAGGCCACTTACCCTCCCTTCTATTCAAATGAACCGGATAGCCATATGTACTAACCGGTAATGTGCCATATTTATTGAATGCTGATACACGATATTCAGCTGGATTAGAAAAATAATCAAATGCAAATATACAACTTTTTGATCGTGCAATTTCTTCAAATAATGGTGTTTCATTTGGTTTGTATTTAAACAATACGCATGTATAACCATCAATATCACCCTGAGCATAACTTTTTTGACATTTTATTTGAATTGTAACATTAAATTGAATTTCAGTAGAACAATTTATTATTGCATCAGGAACGCCTATAATGCACATCAAACAATATAAGTGTAAAAATAGAAAAGATAAAGAATATGTTACTCACCACCATGAAGCAATTCATATGTACAAGTATCAAAGCCAACAGAATTTCTGGCTGTGACATTAAATGGACGAAATTGTTCAATATTCGTAGGTGTTATTTCAAATGCATAATAGAGACCATTATTTTGTTCATTATTAATTCGACGTATAATTGAATTTGGTAAACTATTTGATATCTCGAATGTTATATAAGATGGATTAGCGCGTAATACTGTACAATTAACTGTTCGAGTTTGATTTATACCGCTATAAATTTTTTTTGATTTTTCAGCGCAAACAGGTCGAACTGAAAAAAGTATATTATTATAATATTACTAAAAATTTTCACATATTATTCACTTACATTCAATATACAATTGTTTTGAAATTAATTTCTTAATTGTTTTTTCAGCTTTAGTTAAATCTGCTTCGCATGTTAACCAACGTCCATTGTCTTCCGGTGTTAATCGTTCAATACGATAAGCTTCGTAGGACGATGGTTTAAATAGATCATTAATTGTATCGGGCTTTTTAACACCAGCAATAGATAATACTAAACGTGATGTACTATTTTTATCTAAATAAACATCGATTTCTGGTTTTGGATAACCATCTGCGCCACAATAAACATCCAAACTTTCACCATCAATCATCGATAAACAGTTAGGACAATTTGTTGTTTCACGTGCTCTCAATGGGTTTAAATTTGCTAAATAAATGTTTTTGATTGGTGCTAAATAGAAGAAATGCCTAATGATTATATCTTCAGAAGGTCAACTCTGTTTTAAATTTATAACGTGATATTTTCAGGATTAAATGGCAGCATTGGCTATCAAAAAGTCTCTCATCCACACTCGATAAAAATCAATTTCTCCCACGTATACTAGATTATCTTTCTGATTGAAGTTTGTTTGCTCTTAATTTCGTCAAACTGACGATTTTAGCACTGACATGTTTCATTGTTAGAATCGAACTAAAAAGGGAGTCGTATGACATCAATCAACATTCATGATATTTATCATCATTCAATATCTACGTATCTCAAGTTAAGGTGTGAACGTTCAATCTAGAATTGATTGATGATAACGATGATGCAACAAAAAAATTTGTCAGTTGTCATCGAGATTTTTGCTGTTCATGAAAAGAGATTAAATACAGAAGAAAAAAAATCACCAACAAATTTAACATTTACTCATAAATCAAAGCATGAACGTGTATAAAAATATGTAGTATCAGAGGGTCGTTTAAGTTTAACGCTCAAACAATAAATGAGAATAAAAAATGTTAATCGTTCTATTATACAATGAACTTTTCAGAACACGAAACACAACTAAACTACGATGGACAATTTATTTTTTGTTATAGATAATTATCTTCTTCGAACTCATGTTTTATTGTTATATTTCAACAAATAAATGAATTTTAGTGACAGAAGTGCACAATCTTCATCGGAAGAATGAAAAACTTCTGATAGTAGGAAAATTTCTAAAAAGTTCCTTAGTATTGTAAGAATGAAAATTTTTTAGAAAATTTCTTCGAATTATAATGTTTTTTTCTGATGGAGCAAACGAGAGATATTCTGTATCTCTGTGCGGAGATTTTGTATAATTGTTAAAATGTTTTACATATGATCCACTGTCTACTTAGTTGGTATTACTCTCGTTCTTTACAAGTTTATCTAAAGAGCAATGATATAATGTTTAGTATGTAAATCAAAAATGATTTTTAATTTTATTGATTTGCTCTAGTTAGTATGCGACAGCACCTTTGAATTTTTTCAATGTAAAAACAGGTAAAGACAAGTGCACATTACAGATCGTATTTCAATCACAAACCAACACCTCGGGTTGAGTTTTTGTATTTTTTGAATATGAATTAGTAAATGATTCTAGTGCCTTCGCAAATACGATTTTTTTTTGAATCATTAAGAATAAACTTTTTTATAAATTCTAAGCACATACAAAAGAAAAAAAAAAGAGTAAAGGTCAGTCTTATTTTTTGCGTTCTAGAGGATGAAAAAGAAATGTCTTTTATTTATGATTTCTTTTTTTCTTTTTAAGTTGGTATGTAGAAAAATGTATAATGTTATCGTTAACTAATTCTCTCCTTTGCACATTACGATAATAGTAACTTATGTAACAAGACAGAGAACATACAAGCTCTTTCAATAAACCATGAAAGAGAAAAAAAATAATGAAAATCTTATCGATATACTGAGAAACTGTAAATATTTAAAGTTTGTCTCGTATGATGTGTATGCATGTGCTTGCTTAAGGTCCAAAACTTCACTCTCTACCAACAATATATTAATTGTCAAAATACAAGTCAATGAATGTCCAGCAGCAGAATATTTCTGGTTTAAATCAGATAATGTCATCACCCTTCCACTTCTTAAGACTGATTGAAAAATATATATATGGAAATAATTCTCTCTATCTCTCATCTTAGTAGTTTAAATAGTAATTATAACTTCTAAATATCTTCAAGCAATTACATTTCCTTTGATATAAAAAATATGTGTGTAATCCTTGCTTTTTTTGATAATCATTGTCATTATAATAGTACTAGCGGAACAGAAAATACATTTGTTCTCTTCCTTAGGTTAAATTCATATAATTGAAATAATGGATCATAAAAGATGAACAATAAGAATAAAGGAAGGAAAAAAGAAAAAGTGTTGTAGATGAACAGGAAGGAGGTATGTCATAGTACATGCACATACACATTCTCTCTATCGCCATAACTAGATAACTAATGATAGTTTGAAACATAAATAATGTCAATTAGATGTGCTATGATTTATATGACATTTATACAAACTGAGACTACTGCTGTTACTGTTGCTATAGCAACAACTTACTATAAACTTGTACGTGTTTCCATTCTGTATCATCTTCTGGACATTTATAATAACCGGTATCATCTTCAATTACATTGTGTATTTGTAATAGACTTGTTTTATATGGATTTGTATAACGTGTATTTCTCTCTGTTTCAATAATTAAACTTTTTCTATTATCTAAACTTTTATATTCATAAGCATAAATTGATGTTGAACGATTATCACATATTTCAAGAGTATCGCCTTTTTTAACATAGATAATTCGATCATTCAATACTTGACTATAAATACATTCTCTTCCAAAAACAAGATAAGTCACGATTAATAATAATAAAATATTTTTTCGATAGAAAAATGATGACAACGACGATAGATTAATTGTACTAGTTTGTTTTGATTTGATTAAATGAACAACAATATTATTTTGAAACAAGGAATACATCACAGTACATTATAAACAAAAATAAAAATAAGAAAACAAATCTAAAAGAAATAGATTATCATTAAATATGATCAAGTTTTTGTAGAAAGACGTGCTTATTATTTTGTCCTATGGATTATACACTCTTTTCATAATATCATGATATTTGATAGATAGAAAATTCTAGAGAAAACTAAGCTACTTTACATGAGTAATTTACATATTTTCAGCATTGAAATCAATCCTCAAATAAAATTATAATAGTAATTGATTATTTTATTATAATGGTACACAGATAAATATAAATAAACAGATTATACATACTTTTTCCAAATAAAAACTCTCTTCTATTTTCTATCGATTTTTCTACTCATCCTAGAGAGAGTTAGAATTCAAGAAACAGATACAAATGTGTGATTTAGAGAAAATATAGAGAGAATTTATATTTTTCTGTTTATAAAACCTGCTATAAAAATATAAACGAATAACATCCGCAATTTTTACAATTCATATAATTCTTTGTGATGCATCCATTACTATTTCTCTTCTCTCGTTTTTTTTTTGTTTCCTTATGTAAATACACTGCTATTACTCTGAAATAGAAAAGATTATTGTGTATTGTTCAAAAAAAAAAATATTCAAGTATATTTATTCAAAACTTGCCCGAAATTGAACTAGTGTCTATTTCGATGTCACCATTGGAAAATATCTTTCCATAGCCACAGAAAACAGACAAGATAGATAGATAGATATTACTTATTCACGCACACAGTTTTCAAATAAAAAATCTTGCTGTCATAGATTCAAGGTAAAAAATTACGTACTATTATTTTTGTATGTAATTGAGAGAGAACAGGAAAAAGCTTTTGTCTCATTTACAAATCAAAATTCCGGTTAGAATAGAAGATGATAGAGAAAAAGAAAAATGAATCTAATTATACAAAACGATTCTTATATGCAAGTAAAAATAGCCTTGAAAATCTTCTTGAAAAATGTGTTTTTTTTTTTTAATCGTAACATTCAATTCCGAAGTTGATAATAGGCCTTCTGTCAAAATGAACGGTAACAAAGGACAGTAGATAGTATCATATGAAAAAAGTTCAAAAGCACTATTTCGACTAACGGCACCCTACCTCGTTAGTCATTCTTATAATCTTTCTTTTCAAACCTGCTAGCATGAGAAGTACAGCTATTGGCTAAAAAGAATTTTATGTTAAAAAAGTGTAAAAAGGGAATTTATTTTTTGTTACCACGAACTTTTTTCTTAATGACATCATATACGCGTATGATTCCATTGGCCTTTTTGTAGGTGATGACAAGAAGGGAGTGCTCTTTTTTTGGATACAATTCTGTAGATGGAGCAGACAAGCAGAATATCTCCGTTTTCAGAGGAAAGTTTCTTGATTCCGAAAAATTCTTTGATTTGGGGAAATTTTTCCATCGGGAGAAGCTTTTCATTTTTATGGATAGATTCTACATATCTGAGATGGAAACATTTTTAGACTAACATATAGATTACACGGATTTTCAGTTATTCTTACTGGTTTTTTTGAGTTTCGCGTCTATAAACATTTCTCCACATTGGTTTTCAAATGAAATCTTCAAACGTTAAAATTTAACGGGTTCTCACATAGAAACTAAACAATTTTTTGTTTTATTACATTCAAACACGACACGGTTAGATCTTTCTCATTCAAGTAAACAAAACAAAATTGAGATATCCGATCGAAGATCACAGGCACAGAGTCACCACACATCTAGATCTGTGATAGTTTACGATTTCGAGGAACGGCTCATCAGTACTAGCTCCTTCAAACAGAAACTACAGTTGTTTTTCAGCAGAGAACTGTTGATGCTCTTGCTCTTAGTGCCCTAATAGTTTATTATGTATCCATACAACAAAAATTTTGAAAGAGCGAGCAAACTAAAAACTGTTTTTCAGTTTCTGTTCAATAAATTTGAACTAAAAAAGTAGTTTCCATTATCGAATTACAGTTCAACGAATGATGAACTATCACAGGTCTACACACACCACACACAATCATCTGAAATATCTCATGTTTCTTAATTCTCAAATACGTTCGTTTTTCCTTTATCTTCCCGTATAGATGAACAAGATAAAATCGCAACTAATCAATTATTATTTGGAACTTATCTATTTCTGGATAATGAAATGTTTAGAGCTGCCTTGAACTTATGATATTGATTATTTTTAGTTCACAACTTTTCTCTCTTATCATTGTTGCTATGTTTTATATATCATACCTCGAGACACGGCTGTATCTATCTATCGATAGATCTTGTTTTCTTTAATATTTCAATTTTAAAAATTAGTTAAAAAATGCATGTTTTGTTTTCAACGACATATATTGTATACATATATATAAATAATTTGTTGAATGAAACCTAAAAGAACGAAGTTTCAAATTATATTCAAAACAATGGATGTGTAAGAAGAAAAATTGAACAAGCAATCACAATAATAAAGTGCAGGGTGTGAATAAAGAAAAAAAAACATTAAGAATCGAACGTCACTACATATCCATATCTGATTGACATGTCGTCAAATGTTTTGAGTTCAAATTCAATGAAAGAGAAAAAGAAATTTGATATTTTTTTCTTATTAGATTATCTTACAATACAAGCATCTGTTTCTCGCACATAAAAAACATAAAAATCCCGGCTGTGTTATGAACAATAAAAACTGCAGGCATTATTTTATTATCATATAATGTCATATTCAAGTTGTTATTTGAACAGTAGAGTGAACAATAAAGTGAAATAAATGAACGATAACAAATTCCTTTACAGCATCTACTTTTGAAATTAACTGATTGTAAGTTAAGTGAATATAATATTCAATCGAAATTTTATTTCTTCTATTTTCAGAATTTTGGAAAATTTACGTGCAATAGTTCAGATTTGTATAAAATCGGCTGAGATATTTGAACTGTATAACACGAACTTTTGTAAAGATGTTAACCTTACTGTTTCTACTTAATTTTCTCAATACAAAAACATCACCACATTTATTTCCTACTTCTTTTCTAAGTATCTATTTTCAAAAGAAGAACGATGATAAACTGACTTTTTAATGGTCAATAACTGTCAAAAAAAGAACACTCTGCACTTCATAAAAATGTATAAGTAGGAACGTCATAAATATTTTTAAACATCATCATCTTACCTCTATACTATCATAGAATAATTTGAAATATAAACTCACAGAAGTTATCCTCTATTACTGTTTTCTCTCTCTCTCTCTCTCTCTCTCTCTCTCTCTCTCTCTCTCTCTCTCTCTTGACTATTTTATATGATACAACCACATAGCATTCGTACTCTTGCGGAAACAGAGAACATGCGCGAGTCTTTTTACTCACACATACGGTTTTTTATACATTTCGTCTGTTTTCAACTCTAGAACTGGAATTAATTATTCATGTTACAATATAGAAAGATGAGATGAACGATTCTTTTTCTTCTTTGACCATCGCCTATATTTTTTTTTTCTTTGTTTCTATCAGAAAAAAAACTCCGAGTATTTGAGGACTATAGTTCTGTTGTAGTAGCGTCAAACCAGTCCTCTCGGGTCACGTTGAAAATGAAGAAAAAAAAAATGTATATACAAAAAATTTGTGCTTTACATGACCATTTACACGACGAACGATAATAATATATCAAATATGTCAGAGTGGAACATAAGCAAAAAATATAAGACAAGAAAAATTCTCTCAAGAGAGAGAATCGTCCAAAATTTTGGTTTTTGAAGTTTATAACGACATTGTTACCGAGAAAAGTTTACACTGGGTATGTTTTTGATAGCGAAAGTAGAACACAGAGTGTGATTTTCACACGACTTTTTGAAGGTGAAGAAGGAGAATACTATTTTGAGTAATGGTGACAGAACAAACAAGATATTTTTTTCAAAAATCGTAAAATGGAAATATGTTTATTCGTTGTACAGTTATATCTTTTATTTCTCCTTTCTAAATGGAACCATTGTCCAAATTCAGTAATGAGTGTGAAATCACATGCTAATATAAAATAAAATTTACTTTTTAAGAAGTTTGTTGACACAGATAATACTAAAATTATTGTATAACAAGAATCTATTTATGAGTTAACGATTTATATATGATCATGGATATAGTTAATAAGTATTACTCGTATTATTCAAGGCACTCACTAGCAACAACATCACTAAAAACACTTTAATACTCAGTACTCTCTTTCCCGATACAAATGTGAGAAATAAAACTTTCATTATCAATGCTAAGATCACATAACAACTTTTAAAAACAGGAACAAATATTATCAAGATCAAAATCAAAATGAGAAATCAGTAAATACTACTTGAACTGTACAAAATGGGACTACTCATTCTTAATTAATCAGATATATGTATATACGGCTGTGCTTAAATGAAAAGTTCCTCAAGCGTAAGAAGTAATTGCTATTAATTCAAGTAGACACTTACAAACTGTCGACAAACGATAAAGAAAAAAGAAATGAACAAATCGCGATAACATCTACATTGATATCAAACTGCATATAAAAAAAAACTCTATATATACATATATATTGAATAAGTTATTTTATATACATCAACGACTATTAAATTACATACTTGAAATACATGAATACCTCTGGGGATCTTTCACATTTTTGTTTCTGCAATTCAATCTTAACTTCAATAAACAGATAAAATTCTGAAATGAATTGAAATTGCAGTTTAAAAACTATAACAGATCTGTCGCTCATAACACGAAATAATGAGCGTGTTTATATAAATCACTACTTTAATCAAGTACTCAATAAAAATCGATTAATGATTTTTGATGTTCTAAAAACGATTTTTAAAAGTGTTATTACAAAAAATAATCGCATTCTTCTATACCAATGAAAATATACAACAAATAATTCTTAAAAGTTCACATCAGTTGCGTAGTTTTCTTTCTAAAGTTTCACCAAATTGATTATTTTCTTTAATCTCTGACGTACAGTCAGTTAATCAGAATAAAGTTTTCTGCACAGTAAGATTCTAACAGACCGCAATAAGAATTCCTTAAATTGGTAACAAAAACAACTTCATTTTTTCTAACAATGAATGTTTAATTACTATACAAACAATAAAAGGGTAATGATAAAAGAGAAAAGTCCAAAAAATCTCCAACTCTGAAACTGCAATATTACCATTATAGATTTCAGTAAGATTATTCATTCAATTTTTTTCTTCGAAAAATGAAGCTTACGAAAGAAAGAATGTAAAGTTTATAAGTTTGTAATGAAAAAGAGACCTCCTTTCTTCTTCAAAACTATTTTACGAACAACAAAGTAATAACAGTAAAACAATAAATTTAAATGAATGTGTATAATGAACAAACGGAAAACAAAGAAAAATGCATAGCATGATTGGACAGGAATCTAAACGAATGAAAATACAGAGCTTTTCCACTCTAGCGCTACAGTAATAAAAACAAACCCATGTTTTAGTTTTTTAATCGCTTTTATTGAAGTCATTTTAGACAAAAGAAATGAATACTTTTTTTGGTAGATTGTCACTAACGTCAACGTAATTTACAACGAAAGAAACGACAGACTGTTAAAACAATGGTATTAGCTTTCCTTGACCTTCGTGCTCTACCTCCAATTATAAATTTTGAAGATTGTAGAGGGACACTAGTGCTTTCTCAATGGTACGGTCATTCACGACAGACTTAATCAATTTTTTTTTCCTATCACATCATAACGTCACTTGAACGGCTGTATGTGACGGTGATTACATAAACCATGCGCTTATCAAGAAGTTTCTGTTTTTCTCCATCAAAACTGTGAATTTCTACTAGCACATGCTTTGGAAATTTCTTTTAGACTATTGCACAATTCAAAAATCTTCTGTTCTTTAAACATTGCCTTCGGAAGTATCTGCTATATATACAAACAAACAAAACAAAAAAACGTGTGAATCACAAAGAGAAGAAGACGAAAAACATGCGTAGAATGTTTTTTTGGTAAGAAAAAAAGAGAAAAATGAATGATTTTTATTGTTTCTTTAATCATTATTATGACTGCACCGACACTTTCAATTAATTTTTCCAGATGGAGCTAATACCTATGAATCATACGCTGGGTTTATTTTATTTTTCTTCTCCTCATGAAACGCGGTGCAGCAAATTCAACCAGTGATTTGAGAAATAAACGATCGTGTCTACCAAACAACAATAATAACAGTGAAAATCAAAAACGTCAACGTTCAAAGTAGGCATAATCATTTTTTGGTAGGCTTATGTTGATTGCATGCTATTTATTTGTATTCTAATTTTAGCAATTATAATAACAGCAGTTCATGTGCTGCAGTCTCATCATTATCTGAAACAATGAGTAGTATGATGGATCAAAATATTGACACACTAATTCAAATGGGTTTTGAAGATCGTAACGCAGTGACAAAAGCATTACAAAGAGCAAATAATGATATTTCAGAGGCTGTCACTCTTTTAACTGGAAATGGACTATTTGATAATGACACTAATAATAATAATAGCAATAGTCAAGCGATAGGTCACGAAGTGAACCCGTTTATTGGACCAAAAACTAAAGAACAGATCGAAGATCAAGAACAAAATATGGTATGTTAAACAGTATTTCGCACATAATGGATTTACAATAAGAAAAGAGGATCGTATATTGTAAAAAAAAATAACTGAATACCAATTTATTAATAGTTTGTGTTTTTGTAAAACTGCATATAAGTGTGTTTATCATCATTTGGTTGGAGAACCTGAAGTTTAAGAACTACGGCTGTTATTGTTTTGAACATAGTCAGTTTCATTTAACGTCAAGAATTGAATTTTTGTTAATTTGTATGATTTAAATAGCAGTATGAAGCTTGTGGCTTCTTTGATCTCTACTCTTTCCAAATCTTCGATTTATTTTTCCAATTCTTCGATTATTTTTAGATAACTGTGTATCAGAAATGCCTCAGAAATGGAGAATTATTCGAGTCGTCTTTTCTTTATTTTTGTATAGGATAGTTCCCCTCGTTTCAGCAAATCGGGAACATAAATCGATGTAAAGAAAAAATCATGGGGATTGTTTATCCTTAGACTTCTATGAAGAAAGTTATCGTCATGCACAAGAAGTTTTCACTTTTCTCTATTAAAAATACCCTCTTCGATCTGTGATAGATGATCTTTACACAAAACTAAGTTAATATAAATTTGTTGTGATAGTGCAACTTTATTAAACATGTCATATAAAGATTAAGTTTTCTTTTGTTCAGTAGTTCAGTTCAGATAATGGTCAAATTGAAAATATTTTATTTCCCAATTTTTCATTTTGAAACTCTAAACGAACTATTTGATCTTGTATGTGTGTGTATCTATTGTCTCTGAAATGGATAATAATAGATTCTGAATTCTATAGTTCGTAAGGCTACCGTTTTTTAAAATAAAAAGAAATTTGATAATAATATAAAATCAAATAGATATTCTGCATTTTTCACACATTCTCTTTGTTTTATCATTTTGTCATATATACGTCATTCAACAAAAAAGGAAGAAAAGAATAAATTTGTTTATGTGTGTGTGTGTGTGTGTGTGTGTGTGTGTTTTACTGCAAGGTTAAAAAGGGACGGAAAGAGAGAACATATATTCACGTTTTTTAATCTAAGTGAAATAAAATTTTATTTTCCAAATATGACTCGTTTAAAACACTCATCATCAACACCAGTAAACAAAGTATCGCCGGCATCACAAGTTTTGATAAAATTAAGTAGTTTACATCATGAGATTAAACAAAAACTTCGTCGGCGAAAACGCAAAAATTCTTATTCATTCACCCATGAGGTTCCTTGAACGTGTACATCAAAACGAAGACACCAAAATATATCTATACTTTTTTTAACTTTAGATACAATCCTCATCGTCCAACAACATGAATACATCATCAAATGTAGATATTCTGGAGGATTCATCACATTTTCCAACAACAACATATCTAGATCTTGAAACAAAAGTATTTTCTGAACAATGGTCAATACCATACAAAAAAGATGAACCACTTGGAAAATGTCTAGCTTTTGCCGCCAAACTGGCGAAAGAAGGTAGAGTTTAGGATAGATTAAACTATCTTCATATGAGTATTAATATATTGTATTCTTGTAGGTACTGCTGATCAAGATGAACATTGTAAGCGTTTCATGGAAATACTTGTACCGGATGCTTTTAAAAAGGTATAGTGATTTTTATTAGATGAAACCTTATTATTATTTGCGGCGTGTTTTAGTTACAAACAACAAATCCTGTTAACATTTGGGGACCTGAAATTCAAACGGGCATATTAGATATGCTCGAAATGTTTATTGACTTAGTGGCGGCACGTTTATCTTATTCACCTGTACCCATTGCCCTTCTCGAAACATTAGCCACTTGCTTTGATGCGGACACAACATTTCAACGTATGAATGCATTTGAATTAAATATTTTGTTGTATCCTTCTATTTTACTTATAATTTAAGGTAAACATAAAAATAAATCATATGAGCGTTCTTATTTTGATAAACAACTTGGTGACCGAATACTAGCTTCACCCCCGCAATCGTTTTCAATGAATAGAGAAACACATGGTTGGCTATGTTCATTAATTAATCGTGTACGTATCAATAAACGCTCACAATATTACAATGGTAAACATGTTTTTTCTGTTCTTATGTTAGTTCGTTGCAAAAGATGGAATTACAAATTTAAAGTCACAATTTAATGAAAATTTAACAGCTCTGGTAAGTTGTTTTTCTTACAAATGCTTTTCCTATGAGCTTCTATACTATAGAAAGCTGTGAAAATTTTCAACCGTGACCTTTTCTTTTCTTTCTGAATCACTTACTGCTATTATCTTTCAGAATTTTTTCATTAAATGTTTGCAGTCCCCCCATACAAGAAACTGATAAGTTTTAGTGGATTAATTTTATACGTATTTTTAGGAATACAATGCCCTTCTTTCACCGTTTAACAGCTGTATGGATTATATTCTTTCCGAAAAATATCGTCAGTTATTCGAAGAACATATTGAACAAGCACTTGCTCACGTAAAAAATTTGAAAGAAGAAGATTTTAAAGTGAAGGTATGGTAAAATTATTGATTATGATCAGTTCTAATACAATAATTTGAACTATTTATCATTTTTTTAGTCTACCAGTTCTGTTTTTGATTTACTTTCGACGTTAAAAAAAATATCTTGTTGTGTTTGGCATAATCAAATTGAAACTGTAGAAGAGTTACATTTAAATCTTGTCTTAAAAATGGTCCAGTCATCTAATTTTAATGCTAAAATGAATTCATTAAAAGAAGTATGTTTACGCTCATTTAATGTACCTATTATCATTAAATTATATATATACTTTTGATCATTAAACATTTAGTTATCCAAAATTATAGAAAATTGTACATCATCAATGTCAAGTATATCGAAAGTATCTATGCATCGTGATAATGTATCAGAATGGATTATTGAACATTCAATATTGTCAAAAGCTCTAGAAGGTACGTACATCGATTGAATAAAAGAAGATATATCTTTTTTTCTTGTCATATAGGAAATATTGATCAAAATCAGTACGTTGAAAAAGTGAGAATTCTGGTAGAATTTATTTCTCAGAGAATATTAAAAGAAGATATTGAAGGCATATGGAAAATGCAGGTATAGATTTGAGTATTAGGAGGAAAAAATTCATGTATTATTAAACTATGTCTTTGCTGTAGTATGGTCGTTCTATGGTCGCTATTGATCATTTATATAGTTTAATCGCATCGGCTGCTAGTAAGTTTTCATTAGAACAAATAAATTATTTGATCAACTTGATTTATGAGGTTTGTACAAAGTTCTTATTTATCATCTGAATCTGAAATTCTTTTTTTTACGATGATTTTTTTTATATATTTTAGTCTTGGCAAAAAGAATCAGTTTTAATTCAAGAAAAATTGATTCATTTATTGGGAACAATAGGGCGAGATTGTTACAAAGATTCATCGGCACGAGTAAGATGAAATATGAATTGCATTCCAAGACGTTTGTATCACTTTCTTTTCTTCGATTAGATTTTAGAAGTTTTGTGGTCTATGGCACACGAAGAACGTATTACTCGAGTAATGCTTGATCAAATACTTTGTTGTCATTATAAAATCTTCAATGAGGGACGTTTATTACATGAAAATCTGAAACGCAGTTATTGTTTAAAATGTATGGAGGATCTCAAAAATGTAAGCGACTTTGATAGATAAACTAACTGACACTGACACTTATTGACGACTGTTTATTTTAGAAACAATGGCTTGTACCAGCTATTCGACATATTCACGAGTTGTTAAAACAAAATGATTCACCAACATTTAAACGCAATGATATGGTAAATACTACATGAAAAACTATCATGCAGTAAAAATAAAAGTGTACAATGTTCATTTTAGAATCTGATATCGTTATTAGTTGATGGAAACGATTTAATATTATATTTAATTCAAAGTTTAACAACATGTCAACAAGATGTATGGAAAAAAACTGGAGGACAAGTAAAAATTGATACATTGGTTGATGGACGTTTTACTCATGAAGAATCAATCAAAGCACATTTAGATTTATTATCGTTTTTATTAAAAAAAGGCAACATGTTTTTAGTATTGCGTCGTGCAGAAGAATTGTGGGATACACTTATTGTTAATGAAAAAACATCCTTGTTTGATAAAGAATTAGGTCTTAATTGGTTTATAACATGTGTTGATGATATCAATAGAGAATCTCAAACAGCACTATTTCAAAAACGTGTGGCAAAATTAAATCCTTTACATTTATCTCAGAAAGGTGAGTAATTATATCGCCCATTTTAAAAATAATCTATTTCTACATTTCAACGTCATTTCAGGTTATGCGTGTTTCAAATTATATTTTGAACATTGTAATTTACAATATGATAGATTTGATCAAAGTCGATATCACGGCTCATCATCGTCATACGTAAGTAATGGACTTAATATTTGATACAAAAGTATCATATTTAACAATATAAGTTGCTATTTCATTTGATCATCTACGTAGAAATTGTGCTAGTTTGATGTTGGTATGCTTCAGCAAATGCATAAAAATATTCAGTTTTTGTATTGGTGGATAAACTGTTATTATTTTTTCAATTAGATTTTCGCTATTACTGTTATTTTTCTTTAGAATATTGAACAATCTGATTTATTTGGTTTGGATGCATTATGGGAAATAATTATGTCGGTGAATGATGATCGTTTAGCTGTTGATGCCACAAAATTTCTTATTGATATGTATTATAATAAACCAAATGGTCGATCTCGTCGACAATCCCATCAATTATTACATGAACGCTTTCTTAAAGAAGTTTATTCACGTTTAGCCGTATTATTAAACGAAGGTTTTGTACCAAACATCCCTTATTTATCAAATAATATTTATACAGCATTACGATTATGTGGTGAACAACTTATCTCGCGTACGTCTCCTGCTTCTCCTCAAATGGAATCCAATAATGATGGTGTTATTGTTGATGGTGAACATCTTGAACGAATGGATTTAGACTTATGGTTAACAAAAATCGAACGTTTATTAATGATAACTGAGGAATATATTCATACCGTAGAAAATGAACAATCGTATACATCACATATTTCATCATTTTATGGTTTAGAATTTCAATTAAAAGTTGTACTGGGAGATGTATCCTTATTATCATCTACCACTTCGTCAAAGACTCCATTATTACAACCAAATATTCATTACGATTTAATTACCGTTCATATGAATGATACACTTGAATCATTACGCTCGCGTTTAGCTCAGCATTATAAAGTATCTCCTCAAGATTTACAGATTTCTGTGAACGCATCAGCTTTACCTCCATTTCCATCAGTTCAATCATCGAATAATATTCTTGGTGGTTCAGCAATACCACTTCAGTGTTCATCATCATCAAACAACAACATAAACAGTTCTAATAATAATAATAATAATACTAGTAGTTCAGGTAACAACAACATGTTACCATCTTATTTTAATTCCAAATACCTTTATCAATTACATATTGAACCAGGAATGTATATTTTTATTAAATTAACGGGTTCATTAAATCAAATAACTCATTCATCAGTATTGAAAGAATCCAGTTTACAACCGAATGAGATCAGCCGCAATGGTCATTTGGCTCCATTAATGTTTTCTGGTTTAGACAATGCTTCATCATCAAGAGCATATCCATCGATTATGATGGCTGATAATTCAAGAGTCTACGATGTTTTATATAAATTATCGTTGATAAATAATAAAAAAATTCATACACGAATAAGAAATTTATTACGTTTAATGCCATCTGATACGCGGATTTTGGATGTATTCGATTTGGTTTCTACAAGAGCGGCTGCTGCATCAGCTTGTGAAAGACGACAATCATCTGATAGTGGAATATCAATGAATTTACAACCAAAACAAGCTATTCAATTTCCATTCTTTAATAAAGAACAACAAACGAGTTTAATACAGCAATTGTATAACTTAGAAATATTAGCGGGTAAGTTGTCAGCTGGACATGCTTCTGTTCGTGTTTTGTTGAATAACAATAGCGATTCATTTTTTTCTAGGTAAACTAAAGCCAACATCGACAAATATTGGAATTAAACAAAGTGCCAAATTATTTAGACAAGATTTTATTGAAAATGATGGTTTAGAATTTCTCTTACAATTATTAAATCATTTTGAGACTGATCAACAAGGGGATGATGCTGAATATTATTATAAATTACGACAAGAAATGACTTCATTGATATTACAACTCGTCAAACTAGTTCTTTGTGGTAATGAGAGCGGTAATGTATCTGATGTAATACCTGAAGAACAACCAACAACAATAACAACAACAACAACTGTCGCTACCGCTGCTGCTTGTCCTCCTCCAATAGCTCCTCCAATGCCCGCGAGCCTTGCTGTTACATCTCCAGCGTCTAGTTCAGACGATATAATGGATTTTGATTTTCAACCATGTGTTGAACATTTACAATTTGAGGAGTTTGTTTCAACGGTGACACAAATGATTTTCTTAGCATGGGCTGCGGCAGCTGGAAATATTCGTTTACATGCACAACAATGTACAATCAAAGAACAAGTAAAATTAGATCGACATATTATGTTAAAACAGTTAAATATGACAAATAGCAGAAATAATAGTAAAAGTTCAAATGAAACATCAAACGGAAGTGAACAGAACATTGTACAATCTGGAATGTGTGTCAAAAAAGATTCCATATCTCCATTAGACAGTGAAATAGCAAAAAAAACAATATCGATTATTTTCCATTGTTTTGAAAAACGTCCAGAATTTGTTGGTAAGTTAAATAACTGATCATCTGTATCGAATTAAGACAAAATAACTAAGTGATTGTTCATGTTGTGTATTAGTGAAAAGACAAACTACAAATGTTCTTTTTATTTATTTCCAGCATCGTTTCTTATTCAACCATTTTTTGCCGATTTTATTATCGAAATATTAATTGGTACACCTTCACAAGATGTTCGTCAATGTGCATTGCATAATTTAACACTTTTATGTAAAATTGAACCATTCACATACGATATTCGTACAATGTTTCATCAAATATTATTAAAATGTCGTTTACCATTGTGGTTATCATCGTCAACTGGTACACGTGGCCCAAATCAAAAACTTTTATCACAATGCATCGAATATTTTCAATTACGTTGTCGTTTAACAGAATATTTAACATGTGATGTTCAACATAGTTTGGGTATAAATGCTAAAACTTTATTAACGGATGAAATCAATTGGTTAGGTACTTATACGGTAACGAATGAATTACGATCAATTGATAATATATTATTTATTGGACATTTGCATTTTATTCGTACACTATTAACATGTGAAAATATAAATAAAATTGAACATGGAAGAGAATTAATTCGTCTATTGATCGATCAATTTTTATTTCCAGCATCAAAATCTATGACAACATCAGTGACAAATAATGGTATGGTAATCATATCGAATGACGATACGGTACCAGAACCAAAATGTTCAACGAGTGAAAGTCGTTTAGCAGCATACGATGTCCTTGTTGAATTAGCTCGACACTGTCGTGAAAATTTAAATATTATTGTCGACGATTTAATTATGTTACATCATCGGTCAGTTATTGAGAAACAAAACGAATGGGAGGTAAGTCATAAGGCTGTCTTTTTATATCGTTCATTATGGATGTAAATTTTACTCACCAGAGGTTTAGAATTTATTTCAACTGTTGAATAAAGATCTAAATTCCTTTTAATTTAGTTTATGCCACAAGTAAATCCTCGAGCATCGTGTGGTCTTGTTGGTCTTTACAATGGTGGTGCAACATGCTATATGAATGCTGTACTTCAACAAATGTATATGTTACCAAACATATCAGAATATATCTTAAGTGTACACGATGAAAGTTCAGAATCAACACTATTTTATCAATTACAACAAGTATTTGGTCACTTGATGGAAAGTAAAATGCAATTTTATAGTCCCGAACCATTATGGAAAGTATTTCGATTATGGGGTCAAGAAATTAACATTCGTGAACAACAAGATGCATTTGATTTTTTTACGGCATGTACCGATCAAATTGATGAATATTTGAAAACAAATAAACGAGAAGAAATATTTCGTAAAAAATTTGAAGGTATATTTTGTAATCAAATGATATGTAAAGGTGGTTGTTCACATCGATATGAAGGTGAAGAAAAATTTATGGCATTAAATGTGGCTGTTAAAGTTGAAAGTTTAAATGAATCATTAAATCAGTTTGTTAAAGGTGAAGTATTAGATGGTACGAATGCCTATTACTGTGCAAAATGTCAAGAAAAACGTACGACAATAAAACGTTTATGTATTAAACGTTTACCACCCTATTTATGTATACAATTAAAACGTTTTGGCTATGATTGGGAAAATAATCGTGCGTTAAAATTTGATGATTATTTTCGTTTTCCATGGATATTGAATATGGAACCGTATACCGTCGATGCTGTTAATAGACGAGATAGTTTTGTGGATAATGATGAAACAAATACTAATGGAATGCCAACAAATAGACATGGTGGTGGAGAAACATTGGAAAATTCGGCAGCAGGTAATTCAAAAGCTAGCTAGAATGACTGAGTTTTGAAGATTTTTCATCTACATTTCATTCTTGAGATTAAAAGCTTGTGCAAGTCATGTTAGAAAAACATAGCACACACCATACGTTGTATGTAATGAAGAATTCGAATTTTTACGTGTTTACTCTTAGACAAGTTCAAAAATAGATACGTTTGCCTTGTGAATGTAAGTTTCGTTATTTGTGTAAATATAGTTTGTGTTTCGCGTTCAATTTGTTCTTCTTTCTATGTGTTAGAATATTAGGACAGATGAGCAGTTAAGGAGGTTTGTAAAACTAAATATGAAACGTTACCTTTTTCAATACTTCAGCCAGTTTTTCATAACGGAAAAGCAAAGATAAGAGAAAGATGACAGCATAGATTAGTTATAGAACAAATCGAGCATTTATGAGTTAACTCCTGAAGTTATCATTTTTCTCGTAAGCAATAATTTCTATTTCCTAATTCCATTTCCTCCAAACCTTGAATGTACTTCCGTGATACTTTTGCCAGTTATAATACCAGTTATTAATCTAAAACTTCTCTAATAGTAGTATATTTATTTGATATTAGGCGATGCCAACAAAGTGTTTCAACGTTCATCATCTTCATTAAATCCTTCAACAATCAACTACGAATTAGTCGGTATTGTTGTCCACTCTGGTCAGGCCAATGCTGGTCATTACTATTCATTTATAAAAGATAAAAAAACTGATCGTTCTTCAAATCGTTGGTATCGTTTCAATGATACAAATGTCGAAGAAATACAGTTGACAGATCAGTTGTTAGATGAAGAGTGCTTTGGTGGCACATTCAAAGTAAATAAAGACAATAACAATAGTAATAATAATAATAATTGGACTGAAGAACGAACGCGTTTTTGGAATGCTTATATTCTATTATATCAATGTATTGAACCAAATAAAATTCAACCACAATCATCAGTGCCCACAACTCCACGAACTCCTCGTACCATGCCTGGCTCCGCTGTACGTATTCATCGTAATAGTCCATCGTTAACATCAGGAACATCCGTTGATCGTTCACGTGATAGTTTATCAGAATTAGCCGATCTTGTTGTTCGAACAGAACAAGCCGATATTTTTAAACAAGATGCAATGCCATCTAATGTACTACGTTGTGTTAAAGATGAAAATCGAGAATTTTTAAAAAATCGTGATACATACTGTGATGATTATTTTCAATTAATTTATAAACTTGTTGGTGTATGTTTAAATGGTGATCAGAAATATCAAGATAAGTATGTGGGTGTTAATACCGATGATATTTATATTGTTCATAATACAGATGTTGATGATGAAGATAATGAGCAAACATTTGAATTATGTACACGTTTATCAACAAATTTTATTCTAAATACATATTTTCATACAAATCGTCGTCTAAGGAAAGATTGGACAACATGTTGGGTACAATTATTATCAAAATTATTTGTTAAAAGTGAAAAATCATGTTTAGTCTATTTACAAAATATATTAGAACGTGATGATAATGGTTTAAAATTATATTTACTCGATTGTTCCATTGATGATATAAGATCATCATTTGAACAAATAATGAAAAATTTATTAAAATATAGTCGGAAGCATATTTCTAATATTAGTATACAAAATCAATTACGATCAGCAGCAGATGATGATGTTGATGATAGTAATGAGACAATTGTTGTAGTAAATACAATAGATACACGACATGAATTAGCTGGATGTTTATCAAAATTTATTGAACAATTAGTATCATTATTAGATAAATCAGTTGTTGAACAAGTAAAACATTCCCAAAATTATTTTCAATTATTATATCATTATTCTCAATTAGATACTCATTGTGTTCAACATTTATTAAAATTAAATACATTCCCAAAATTAATGACATTTTTGTTAGGTACACCACCCACTTCACAGACTGTCGCTGAAAATGGTTCAGTTATTACAGCACCAGCAGATGAACAACAGACAACATCAAGGCGTTGGAATTCTGGACAAGCAAAAGAATTTGGATATGTTCATGAATTAATTGCCACTTTAGCATTAGCATGTGATACATCATTAATACCTATCGATGAAGAAAGTATACCATTATCAGATGATATGAAATTTTATTTTTATGGTAAATTATCATATAAATATTTAAAAGAAATATGCTACGCATTTCAAGAAGTATTACAAATACATTTAAATAAAACTTTAGAATTATTAAAAAAATTATCAACGGAAAATGAATTATTTTCTATACAGTTAATCAAAGCAATAATTAATTCAATTGCAACATCATCAACTAACGATTTGAAAACATTATTCAAATTATTAATGGAAATTTTGGTATGTAATAATCTCTTTATTTAGGTTAAACTTAAATATTCTTAAAAATAAATTTTACAATATGTTTATTCGTATATTTTCTAGTTGATTGATGATTCATTACAAGATAAACGATTATGTTTATCATTTGATGGTGTAACCGAAAGAGGTGGCGGTGATAATGTTCAAAATATGAATGATCTTTATTCCATCATTCGTGCAAGTATTAATTCAGATGGAAAACGTGCTTATCAATGTGTGAAATTTTTAATTAATTTATCGACTAGGTAAAAAAATAGATTATTTGTCATTAGTTGAAATTTGAGCTATTTATGACAATTTTTTTTCTTCAATTTTAGAAGTTCAACATGTAAAGAATATCTTTATTCTGCTGCTCCAAATTGGGAAACGGCCATAACATGGTTGAAAGAACAAATGACACATAATTGGGCCTGGTCACCATCTATGAATCAATCAAACGAAGACAGTGATAGTCGATCATTTCAGCGAACAAAAAGTGCACAATTCACATTAGAAGAAGCACAAAGATTATTAAAATCTGGAAATGAGAATATAGAATTGATGGACTATGATTTGAATAATAATAACAGCAACAACAACAACAGTCAATCATCTTCTCAATCTACAATTATTGCCGATGAATTAAAATAGGGTCGCGTGTGTGTGTGTGTGTGTGTGCGTGTGTGTTTATGTTCTTTTTCATTTGTTTGTTTTTCTTTTCGATTTAAAAATGTTGGTTGTTACTATCGTTTTTTTTTTCAGTCTATTATTACAAATATACAGAAATATATTTTTATTGAAAACAAAAAACATTGAAAAAGGTCCGGTGTGCTATTTACTCCTTTTCTTTTCTTTTTTGTTTAAAATTTATTTTGTTCTTTTTTTTTTTCAAGAAAGACAAAAAAAACAACAAATTCACGTGTGTGTGTCTGTTTGTATTTGTCTTTGCTCACTGCGTTTTCGCTTTTCTTTTGCGAAATCGTTGTGTTACTGTGTATTTGTTAAATATCGTTAATTTTATGTATTCTCGCTCTTATTTTGCTGCTTCAAACCTACCACATTCTTTTCGTAATGATATAATACACTATTGATTAAGAAGAGAAAGAATGAAAAATTATTTAACAACTGTGGAACTTTCTGACACGCATCTTCTCTTATTTGTTAACATGATAGGAACGACAAAGTTCTTCTATAGTTGGACTCGTAGCTCTATTACGTGTAGTACTATAAATTCTATTATGTTGCAATTTGTCTATAGGCACAGTGTTAGAAAGGATAATTAATGTATATTCATCTTATCAAAGATCTCACTGTAGCTGTATTTTCTACGATGTTTATCCGTTTTCTGGTATTTTTTTTATACACATAGTACCTCTTAAGCAAGGGTCACTTGTGCAACCTCTTCTCGGCAAACGTTTGTTTTATTTTTTCTTCAGTTTTTCCTCATTCTTCACTGTTGCTTTTACTTTTATTTTGCTTTGTTACGGCTATAATATACTTTCTTTTTTTGTTGTTGAAAGAATTGATAAGAAACGGACAATGTGACAAATTATGTTACTATTCAGCTTTAACAAAGCTCTCTCTTAAAACATTGATCTGTTTCTTAGATTGGCTGTTCCAAAAAAAAAAAATTTTTTTTTCTATACTTCATCTTTATTTTGTATGCGCGTGCGGAACAATAACATGAACTTTTTTTGCGTTTTTTTGTCAGTTTTTTATACTATTGAGTAAAAATTTCATATCGTACTATTTTTAATTAGATGATTTTGGTTTCACACAGGTAAGAAATATCATAGGATATAGGAAATATTATAGGACAATACTCAGTGATTAACTACAACATTCACTGTGGGCTAATATTTACAAGGCTTTACTTGTTACTTGAATTTAGAATTTTTTTGAAAAAAATAGAACCAGAAATATGTACGTGTACATATACGAGAACGTTGAAATCTGAAGATTACTTTCTTCCTCTATGTTCATGTATGCCTTTGGAATAGTATCAAACATAACTTTTATGGCTTGTATACAGAACATCGTCACATCAACTGGATATTTATAATTTGTACCATAACGCAACGACTAGCTAAGGCTCAGTGGCGATCGAAGAGAGAAAGTACAAGCATTCAATAATTGAAAAATCTTATTCATCAGTAAACATTCTAGAAAAATGACTTTGTTGTCACCAGATAGCTTTGGCTCTTTTCTTATTCAATTTCATACATTTTAGTATATACATATTTCTCCAGTTTAAGCTCTCACTATGAGTCGTAAAAAGAGGGTAAGTAGGTCAGAGTAGCGAATCCTCTTGTCTAATAAATACATTTTTTCTCTTTGTCAGGGTCGTGCAGCAAAAAATGCTAGACAAAAATTTCCTCCACACTATGAAACCGATGAAGTCAAACGAGCACCACACGTTTTGGTATTTAAACGTGGAAATACCGGTAACATCATTATCACATGTTGTAAAGCTCAAGGTTAAATTTCTATCTCTTCTTTACTAGGTAGTAATGTTAAAGAATTAGTGAAAGATATGCGTCGAGTCATGGAACCATTTACAGCACCACATTTAAAAGTTTGTCAAATGTAAACCCCATGACAGCAGAGATGGGCGAGATTGTCCTATTCTGTCATATATACAGTCTTGAACAGAAAAGTTCTGCTAACGGTCGAACGGGCGAACTGAATTAGTATAATTTTGTAAAAGAAACGTTCTTTCTGAAGAAATCCAAGCTTTTTTATTGTAAAAAGCTTTGGTAATCTCTAAAAAGGTTATGCCAGAAACGTTCAACAGATAAGGTTTTCCTTCAAGAAAAAGCGTTTTTCGGAATTGGAAGGGAGAGGAAAGTTGAGGGTAAGCTCCTGAGGCGACAGAAAACCTCGTTCCGCCCATCTCTGTCCTTCTAATTCATCGCTTTCCTTCATATCTATACATTTTCTCTTATTTAAGGCAAATAAAAAGAACTCGTTAAAAGATTTTATTGCAATTAGTAGCCATTTTCATGTATCGCATTTAATAACATTTTCTAAAACTCAATTATCGACATATATGCGTTTAATTCGAGTTCCACGCGGTCCAACATTAATTTTTCGAATAAGAAAATTTACTCATAGTCGAGATATTGTTTCCTCATTGAAACGTCCACAAACATTTCCCAAACAATTTGAACATGCACCATTACTTGTGATGAACGGTTTTGCCAATTTGAATGATTCCGTACATATTAAATTAACTACCACAATGTTTCAAAATATGTTTCCATCAATCAATGTTACAACAGTAAGTCGTTTATATTCTTCAAATTGAAAAATATAAATTGTGAAACAATGATCATTATTTTTTAAGGTTGATTTAAGTACAATTAAACGATGTGTATTACTTTCACTAGATCCACTTAATGGTTTAATGGAATTTCGACATTAGTGAGAAAAAATGAAAGTCACAATTTTTAATGTTGTTTATGTATTTTTTCATCTAGTAATGTCAAAATATTACCAACTGGAATATGTCGAGCAGCAAAAAAACTTTTACAAGGAAAAGTACCCGATTTATCTCGTTTTAATGATATTAGTGATTTCATGTACAAGTAAGTGAATAATTTCCTTTTTTATACTGTTTACTGAAATTGATTTATTAATAGAGAGGGTAATGCATCTGAGAGCGAAGGCGAAATGGATGAAGGCGAAGATAATAAAGTTATGGTATCGCAACAATTACAAAGCCGTGGAAATTTAAAATCGAATCAAAGCGCAATTCGGTAACTTATTTATTATTTTTACTTCAAATGATATTTTTTAGTATTTCCTTTTTTTTTATAGACTCACTGAAATTGGTCCACGTATGACATTAGAATTACTTAAAATTGAAGAAGGTTTGTGTGATGGTGAAGTATTGTATCATACGTATGTTAAAAAAACACCAGAAGAAATTCAAGATCTCAGAAAGAAAAATGCTGATAAAAAACGTGTGAAAGCAAATCGAAAACGAGAACAAGAATTGAATGTTGCGAAAAAAATGAAAAAGAAAAAATTGAGTGCAGGAGAGAATTCTGATAAAGTAGAACCAGAAATTGAATCCGATTGGGAGGATTATTAGAAATTTGCTTTTTTCTATTTTGTGTTGTTATTGTGTTTGTTAATTGAATTTTTGTTAACGAAAATTTGTGGTTTGCACAATAAATAAATTGTTGAAAAAATCAGCGAAAGTTTATCTCATATTAGAAATGTATAAACAATTAGTTAAAAGAATAAAAATATGCTGAATAAAATTTTTCAAGCGAATTGATGAATGAATGATAAATTGACTTCAATACTCTTTTTCGTATCTTTTCAATTGAGATACATTTTTAATTCCAAACAAAGATACTTGTTAAATTGGGTATCTCAGTTGGGAAACGGAAAAAGAAAATATAAAAAAACTGCTTTTCTCAACGAAGATACAATTAATAAAATATGGGTGCGTATATGTTGTTTATATAACTTCAAAAAGTATTATTTTATCCATCATAATATAATAAAGCAGTATTGCATCGAAGTTTGTTGAAATATTGTCATGGATTTTGTTCGTAAAAAAAATCCCAAAGAGGTGTATCTCCAATATTATATAAAGAAAATTTATATTGTTGTAAGCGTCTCAGAAGGGTATTGAACATTGAATGAGTACGAATAATAATTGCAGATATTCTCTTATTTCACGGAATAATAAAATCACATCTGTAAATGGCATTTGCGAGTATAATAATACACAATATCGAGCGCATGTTGATCAAATGATTTCATTGTATTTCAGTTGAGAAAAATAGTTTTGTTTATATTTTTCCATTTCCCAACTGAGATACCCAATTTAACAGGTATCTTGGTTAGAAAATAAAAATGTATCTCAGTTGGTACGTAGCCTCCTTTTTTAAAATTAATAGCAGTCATAGATTAAAACTGATCTGATGTTTCGACTCTTCACAGAGTCATTTTCAGAGAAAATTATAGACATTACTGTACTTTACACATGAAACATTATGAAAAAGAAGGAGAAGAATTTTATCTTTATATACTGTGCGTTGCTGGTAAAAAGCCAGTCAGTAATTTTGTTATCGGTCGTTTATCCTGCTCTTTATAACTTTTCTCTATCCGCCTGGATCAATATTCTTCTTGTTCTTTCTGTGCGAAAGACCGTCGGGAAACGCGATTAAAGGTACAGATCTAACTGTACGATTTAAGTCAGGATTGAGTGATGCTATTAAGAGAGACTTCTTGATTGACAACCGATACTCACGAAATCATTTGATTAACATGCGCTCGATATTGTGTATTCTTATGCCCGTAAATGCCATGGCCAGATATGGTTTTATTATTCCGTGAAATAAGAGCTTTTTTTGTGGAAATTTGCCTCCAGAAACTGTAATTTAATGACGTCATGGTAAGTTTAAAAGAAAAAATTTTTCAATCTTATTTTTTATTTGAATTGTATCACGTCAACCGAAGGATAGAAAAAAAAATAATATGTTCTTTCTTCTAGTGGGTTTTTCTGTTTAAATTATTATGAGAGAAAATCAAGTTGGAATATGACATTAAAAAAGTTTTCTTGCTTTGTATAAAAACAAAACGAAAAGTATTAACTGCTTTAGAGTGTCTAATTTATTTTTAAATCTAAAATTCATCTAATCACCTAAATACGATGAGTATTAGATCAAGAAACGCAAGTTATAATGTTATTATTTTTGGTGAATCAGGTGTAGGTAAAAGTTCAATAGTTAATATGCTTTTTGACAAAGATACTGTTGAAACATCTGATGGTGTCATGGGTTGTACATTTGAATCAAAATTATATCATGATACAAGAGAAGGATATTCATTTAATATTTATGATACAGCTGGTTTAAACGAATCTGATAAAGGAAAGGTTAAATCAGAAGAGGCAGTCGGAAATCTGATAAAATTGGTTAAGAATTTAAAAGATGGTATTCATTTGTTAATAATGTGCATAAAAAAGGGCAGAATCAATAATGCTATATATAATAATTATCAATTATTTTATGCTGGTATTTTTTGTAAAAGTGTTCCTATTATACTAGTTGTAACAGGTTGTGAATTAGATGAACCTATTAATTCATGCAAAATTAAGAATGAAAAAGCGTTAGTGAAAAATTTTAAAATGAAATTCAATGATATTGTTTGCATTACTACCTTAAATAAAGGTAAACATGCAGTTAAATTTGTAGAAGAATATTTGTAGAAGAATAATTTATCACGTGAAACATTAGGTGATTCTACTGTTGATAATTCATTAAAAGAGCCTTGGATTATTCCAAACTTTGTTGATTTCTTTATGGTTATGATTAAACGAATATGGAACATTATTGCAAATTATTGTAATTTCCGGGAATTACCTCTAAATATGACAATGTATAGCATATTTCAAAAATTGGGTTTTTGTGACACAGAAGCTACGGAAAAAGCTAATAAACTAGTTAATGACTTAAAAAATGATGACATGACCATACAAGTCGTTGATGTTGACAGTCCTGCTAATTAGTCAGGTAGAAAGTTAACTTATTTCGATGGCTCAGGTGCTCATCATCGGTCGTTAAGCAATTTGTCTAAGAAAAGTGTAGCTATATTTCATATAAGTTTTTCATGGTACGGTTATATACTATATTACACTCTTGAAAAGCTTAGACAGTTTTCTTTTGGAGATAGAAGGTTTTACTCAAACTCGCTGCGAGTATAGAGCCGTTCAAATAAGAGATGATGTGGCTTTTTACCTACGACATCTGTTCGAGATGCTTTATACTCAATATACTAAAGGAATATGAAAGAAAAACATCTCTAATCTAAAAGAGATAGACACATTAACAGATTCCGGTAGATGATGAATTCAATATTGGACTGCTGTAGATGATTTATCGCGCAAAAATGAACGCATTTTATGCAACTTTGCCGTTTCATTCTATACAATAATTAATGGTCACATGATACTTGATCGTACGCATGGATCACAAACTATATTTTCGCTAGTAGAACTGAATGATTAGTTAATCATGTGTTACTTGATAAATTCACTGTTATTATGCATTTAGTTGCTGAAACAATTGTTTTTATATCAATAAAAGAGGAACAGTAGTGCTATAGCTAATGATATAGCAAGAGAGAATTTTCTTTCTCGCTTTCGTTTGTGAGAGAACTTATCAAAATGATTTCCGTACTGAGTAATCGTTCAACTTGACAGCAGTAACTGAAAACAGCAAACAATACTATCTCTGATTGCATATCAGAAGAAAACAGAATATTAGACCTAACAACACTGGGTATCGTTACTACTTGTGCATTATTCACGTTGATCTTCATATTCAACAATCAGCTACAGGATGTGTAGGAGGTTTAAATGTAAAATATCTAAATAAAGCATTTACGAGTGATCAGTTAAAATATTATTTAGACTCTTTGATGGATTATCTGTTAGTATTAGAAGAATCACTTATGCTGAAAAAGTTATAGCACTACTGTTCCTCTTTTATTGATATAAAAACAATTGTTTCAGCAACTAAATGCATAATAACAGTGAATTTATCAAGTAACACATGATTAACTAATCATTCAGTTCTACTAGCGAAAATATAGTTTGTGATCCATGCGTACGATCAAGTATCATGTGACCATTAATTATTGTATAGAATGAAACGGCAAAGTTGCATAAAATGCGTTCATTTTTGCGCGATAAATCATCTACAGCAGTCCAATATTGAATTCATCATCTACCGGAATCTGTTAATGTGTCTATCTCTTTTAGATTAGAGATGTTTTTCTTTCATATTCCTTTAGTAAATGATACAGGTACGTATACCTCTGCGATCCTCAATGATACGATGCCTAAAATCGCTTCTTAAATGAAGCGCCATGCTGAAAACTGCATCACTGATTGCTGCAAAAATTTTTGTTAAAAATTATCAGCCCATTTCTCTTATTTCTAACGTGTGTAAAGTTTTCGAAAAAATTATCCGAAAACATCTTTTCCCTTTTTTAACGTTAACGAACTTCTTTTCCCTAATCAATTCGACTTTCGTCCAAATGCATCGACGGAAGGTGCGCTACTTTTCATTCACAGATACAATCTATACATGTTTAAATAATCGCCAAAAAGTAGTTGGCATTTCTTTCGATTTCGAAAAAGCATTCACCCGTGTGCCACACAAAATTCTACTGAGAAAACTATCTTTAGCCAGCATTACTAGTCCTCTACTTGACTGGTTCAAGTTATATCTGTCTGAGCCCAGATAGTAACAGTGGGATCTGCTCATTCTACTTTAATCCCTGTTGTTTCTGCAGTGCCTCAAAGGAGTATTCTTGGTCCCATCCTATAACCCTCATTAATGACTTACCTTAAAGTCTAGTTTCCTCTCTATCCTCGCTCTTTGCAGATGACCTTCTTTGTCTAGCCGATCATTGTAGGCAGTTTGAAATGGTCAATGAAATAATGCATTGTGTTAATTTTATGTGTTTGAATAGGCTAACAAATTGGTTAAATTGATTATAGATATCGTTTTTTCTTGAATTTTCTATGATTAATGTTTTCTATAATGGTACCTGTGGCTTTGTTCTTTTTACTATCCACTAAAAAGTTGCATCCAGACAAGGCACAAGCGTGCATAGACGAGGATCTGGCTTGGTATGAAACGAGTTTTGCCATTTTAAACGTTTCAAAATGTGAATGGATGTTGTTTTCTACTGTATCTAACGTATGTCCAACAATGTCTTCAAAGATGAATCATCGCATATTTCAGCGTGCTTCTTTTCTTAAACTTCTTAGGGTTAGATTGACGCATGATCTATCGTGGAAGTGTCATACTGACAATGTAACCTCAAATTGTCGAAAAATGCTTGGTTCTATTTCCCGTATGTTCCGCGATGCTCCTAATTCTCTTCGTCTTCATCTTTATAAAACCTGCATACGCCCACCTTTGGAGCACTGCTGTATTCTGTATGATACGTCTTACATTTCTCATCTCTCTCATAAAAATATGCTATCGGGCAATATCGGCTTGTGATAGCTAGCTATCCGTACCACTTTTATTGAGTTAGCTAGTTATATCGGGTATGATACCTACCGACTAGATATCGTACCCGATATATCGGGTTGAGAAAAAGCACTGATCAGTAGCTATTTAGTCACAGTTATTTATAGCAATGCCACGACATTTTCATTAAAATGAACTGCAATTTCCTCTAGTGATTCATTTCACTCGTTAATTGTTCAATTAATTTCGATCGGCATCGTCTTAATAACCCTTATTATATTATAAGCACAATCGAAATAGCAAAAAAATATCATCGTCTTTTTGTTCTTTTTCAGTTTTAGATCATCAGTTTGTACTCCCTTTACTATAGACTCTCAACAATTTTGAGATCAAGTCCCACTGGGTAGCTAAGTCTCACCTTTGGCTTTACCAAAATTTTCTTTTTCCAAAGTTATTAACGATTAAAAAACGCGCTGAATGTTTCATTTGAAACGCGTTCTAGAACGTTTGAAAACGCGTTTTTTCTACGTTTTTAACGCAAAAGTAATGCGTTGCGAAAGTCCGAAAAACGTCTTTTCAAACGAATAGATAAAGAAAAACGCGTTTAAACGACAAAAAAATGCGCCGATTTTGAAACATTTAACGCGTTTTTTAGTCGTTAAAAACGAAAACAAACGTGTTTTTTGTCAATCTTTTCATCCCCAAGTAGAGATACAATTGGTGAATTCCATAAAAAATTCCATAAGAATAGTCCAGCTGAAATAAATCTCAATGATTTTGATGAATTTATGAAATTATTTGATGATAAAAATCAGCAACAGATTTTGAAAACTCGTAAAAACGAATTCGAAAATCAATTAAAGATTTTAAAAGTAAAAAATGATGAGGAAAAATTAATTATAAGATTAGTGAAATTCGTCAAAAGCTTGATTATTATGCAAGATTATCTTAAATTAGTAAACAATGTAATTTTGATGATTTA